AGTAAAAAATGAATAAAAATGAAGTCTATAAAAAATAAAAATTTAAAATTTTTAAATTTTTACTATTTAGGGTCTTTTAAGATTAAAAAAAATTTTAAAATATAAGTTTTTAAAAAATAATTTAACTTATGAATAGTATAAAAAAACTGAAGTTCTTGAAAACTAAACCAAACAAACCTAAATCTTCATCTCCAGCTTGTTATGACCAACTTAATTAGTTACCAATCCAACCGTTTCATTGAGATTTTTAATTTAGATGTCTCAATATTAAAACATCTAGAAAGAGGATACTAAGGTACCCTTTGAATTGAGGGGAAAGGAGGAGAAGAGACTGGAGATATTCATCTATTTGATTACAAATAAAATCGGACGAAACGGGAGAGGAAGAAGCCCTTTATTTTACTTTTTACTTTTTTTTTCCTTTTTATTTATCTGAATGAGATGAAGAGTTTGTTTGTTTTTTTTTTTTTTTTAACAAATTGTCATGAAACCAGAATAAACTGTTATTCGGGGAAAAAGAGGTGTACCTTTATAAGAGTGGCTGAGGCCACTTGATCTTATGGGTTAGGTTCTTTTTTTTTTTTTTTTTTTAAATTAAACTTACCTTAAAAGATGTATAAAAAAACATACCTTAAAAGATTCTTGAGTACATAAAAAATTACTTAATTTGACTTCAAATAATTGTAGCTTTTTTACTATTTCTTTAAGTTAAGGAAAATAATTTATATATTTATTTATATTATTTTTAATAAAAATAAGAGACAAAAGTGAGACTTTAAAATTTATTTATTTATTTTCAAAAAATAATAATTAATTTGTGACAAAATCAACTTAAAAAACAATAGTTAGTTTGGAAAGGGAAGAGTAAAATGAAAGGATAAGTGAATATTAATAATGCCATACCAGTATTTGTAGGCAATAAGAGAATACTCTGCCTTCTAACAACTTCACAAAAATTGAAAAGCTGATCAGAATTCGAAGAACATGGCGGTGGCTCTGTTCTGTGCAGGCCCCAATGGGAAAATATTATTAATAAGAAAAAAAATGAAATGAACAATAAGAAAATATTATAGATTTTGTATTATAGCATTCTTAAAACACAACACAACAGGAAGAACCGAAGAGTTATGTCCATTTGCAGTAATAATACTGTTAAATGGAAAAATTTCACATCGAGTATAAAAATAAAAAATTTGTGAGTTAAATAAAAAGAAGACTACTTCACCTATTGTTAATTGGTTTTAAGTTAGATGCAATTTTTGTATTGAGATCACATGCACAACTTTCACATGATATCAAAACTTAGATTTTGTCATGAGAAACTTGTTATTTGTCTACTTGACAAAACCTAAAGTTAAAAATACCGAGCATGGACGTGACAGGAATTGATCTTCATACCTAGTCTACACGTGAGGGGGCGCCAATTAGTATCAACTTAGATACAAGCCTTATATTAAACTCACGTGCACAACTTTCACAACTGTAATCCCGTAACTTGATCAGAAACCGTCCTCAACGATCTTGTCTCTCTGAAGCCTTTTTCTCTACAGTCTCTAAAATTCTTGAACATAAAAGGCCAAGAGCAAAGATAGTAGGCAACAATGAGAATTTGATAGAACTACCAGCAGCTCTGCGCGCAAAATCATAATTAATTGCTGTAACAATGCATTGTGATATGGCACAAACTAAGCCAATGATATCTGCAAAGGCTCCAAAACGCTTGTGATCTTGGGAGCGATAATATAACCAGGGTATTCTGCCCCTTGGCCACTTGAAGGTGATTCTTTCATTTACTCCCTTGTAGAGCAACGAAATGACACAAAGAACCAAGGCTACGAGGGACAACGCCATCACCATTAGCGCATAAAGAGGCTTATGCGGAGACGAAAGCTGGTCAAAAACAGCTGAGGGAAGCTCCACGATCAAGTTGGAGACAACAAAAATCCACTCCCATAAAGGAACCTATGGGAAATATCGATTATTCAAGTTAGCAAACTATTAATTTAAAATGTTTCTTAAGGGATGTTATAATAGTTAAAAATTATAATTTTAAATGAAAATTTCAAATCGAATATATTTTTTAATAGGAAGAGGTTTGGAAATTACAATTATATGTCATTATTATATAATCAATTATCTAATGTTAAAAAAAATTACTAAATTAAAATATCATGTTTTTCTTGTGACTATTTGAAATTAAATTAATGTTTTATTTTTTAATTTATTTTTGTCCTATACTAAGTGGCCCAATAGCCATACCCGTTTGATGTGGAAGTATTAAAATATAAAATCTTAAATTCTACACTAATGTACTACTAATTCCCTCCACTCCTAAAATTCCCTAATTAAGTTAAAAAAAAAAAATTAATGTTTAATTTTGGTTTGGCTATTACCTTTCCGTAATTCTGACCCGATCCATCCTGAGCACTGCCTGTATTTACTTCAATATCAACAGCACTTATATTTGGGATCAGACGTTCCTCGTCCGGAGCGGCACTTATGTTTGCTGAGATATCATCAGATTCATTTCCCTGAAATATAACAATTAACAAGTCAATGAGGAGAGATTTAGAAAAAAAAAAAAAGAGAATTATCTCTTTTGTATAGTACATTTAAATGTACAAAAAAAAATTAATGGGATAATAGGTACAATCTCTCATCGTGGTCATAATTTTTTTATTGTTTTTGAAAATCTAAAGTGTAAAATTTTTCCCCATGATCTCCTTCACCATCTTCATCTCTTCTCTCTCTTCCAAATCTCCTTCTTTCTCTTTCTCATCTCTAGGGTTTTTAATTAATACACCGACTGCTCCTCCTCTCTAGCATGGACTCTATATATAGACCACTTTCAAGACAATCTCCATGATCCAAACCTCTGACCAGTCTCTTTTTTTTTTTTAACAATTTTTCGTGAACAAAATCAAACTCACCAAAAGGAAGGGAGATGCACCATACAATATGATGGTTGTTAATAGACTCAAAGGATTAAGTGCCTTTAGTCAATCATTTTAAAAATTAAATTTTCAAAGAAAACATTCAAATTTTAAATTGTTGAGTCTTTCTGTCATTATTATTAAAAATTTATATATACATACAACTAAAATGCTTTGTTAATTGTGACACATACCTCAGTGGCAAGGGGGATATATTCTCCACATCAACCCAAACCCCTCGTGATTACATGTAATTAAATCAATGTTTTATTTTGGTTTGGCTATTACCTCTCTGTAATTCTCACCCGATCCATCCCAAGCATTGCCTCTATTTGCTTCAATATCCATTTCATTTTCCGAAAATATTGAAAGAGGACTTGTATTTATGCTCAGAAATGGCCCGTCCGAAGCTTCGTCTCTGTTTGCTGAGATATCGTCAGATTCATTTTCCTAAAATATAACAATTAACAAGTCAATAGGATAATAGATATAGTCTCTCACCTGAGTCATAATTTTTTTTTTTAATTTAAAGTGTAAAATTTTTCCCCATTATCTCCTTCGCCGTCTCCCATCTATTCTCTATCGTCCAAATCTCCCTCATTCTCTCTCTCATCTACAGGGTTTTTAATTAATTCACCGACTACTCCTCCTCTCTACCATTGACTCCATATAGGGACCACTTTCAACACAATCTCCATGATCCAAACCTCTGGCCAGTCATTTTAAAAATTAAATTTTTAAAGAAAAAATCCATACCCCAAATTGTTCGGTCTTTCTGTCATTATAATTAAAATATATATATATATATACACAACCAAAATGCTTTGTCAATTGTGACACATACCTTAGCGGCAAGGATGGGCATGGTTTCCGCAACGCCTGGCGCCGATGGTATAATAGTTTTCTCAACGAGGGCCAGTACTGCCTCTGACAGCCTCGTTATGATCGCCTCTGCCATCACCTTTAATGCGGCCTCTGACGTTCCCTTTAACACTCCCTCTGACGCAGCCTTTAACGACGCCTCCGCCTTTAATGCCGCCTCTGACCCCCCCCTCCTCCCCCTTCTTTAACACCGCCTTTGACGGCCCCTTTAACGCTGCTTCTCACGCTGCCTTTAACTTCAACAAGGACACCTCATCAACATCAAATCCAGATCCAGAGTACAATCTCATCAAACAAAGCACCCCTTATTACTAGGTCTCGAAGGAAGATTAACGATGCTGCAAAGAAGGAGAGATGAAAGCAAGACAAGCGAAACCCCGAGACAGCCACAAAGAATGAACTTACTTAACGCCTTATAACACTGATAACATAATCTTCTTCATAAAAGAATATTGAAAGGCCCAAGAAACATCTAGGAAGTCCTGTGGACTGCTGGCCATCCAACGCGGAAAGTGCTTGGAACACCAAATCTGGGTATAAGTTCTATACCCAGATTCTTTTCCTGAAATTCTCTACTTTCAAAAAAAACAAAAAATGAAACATCTAGGCAAGAGAGGTAAAAACACTGTTTAAATTAAAAAAAAAAAAAAGTTAGGAAAAGCTTACCACATCTTAATTTTCATCCGCTAATAAATTTTTTTTTTTTGAGCTTGCATTTTAACTATTGAATTTGAAAAACTAACTATTTTTATGGTAGATCATATAAGTAAAATTTTAAATTGGGAAATTTGTCTTTTTTTTTTTTTTTTGCATTTGTTCTTCCTAAATTCGTTTTGAAGAATATGTCTAAAAATTTATTTTTTTAAATGATATTTTTCAAAATCAACTATTTGATCGAAAGTTTTATCCATAAATATCATTCATGTAAATATTTATGTTGATCTAATAAGACTAATCACTTTTTTAATTACAAAAAATTTAATATTAAATATATATTAATAAATAAAATTATTTTGATTAAAGATTAAAAGATTATAAATATTAAATTAATATAAAAATTAATATATATGATTTTGATAAATAAAATTTTAATTCAATAATCAATTTTTAAAAATATTAATTAAAAAATAAATTTTCAAACAAGTCCTATAAAAAAATTTTTAAAAAGTGACATACTTTACACTTATTTTTTTAAATTAATTGAATATATTTAGCCTATCATAATTACACTTGGTTTTAAACTATTAAATAAATAATAAAAAAATGATCTCTTCATTTCTATGGTTATAGACATTGAATCACATTGAAATTTTATACGTATAAATTATATAAATAGAATTTTAAATTCCAAAGTTAATTTAACAAAATATAAATTATACATAAAATTTTTTAACAATATAAGTAATGGTCTAAGTTATATTAGTAGAAGTTAATCCTCGCCAAGGAAACTACTAGGAAAGAGAGGTAAACAGTTTTTCTGAAAGTATGAAATAAAGCCTTCTTCCCTGAAGTTTCAAAGCAACTTTTGACTTCTAATAAACTATTTTTCACTTTTGCTAATGAACGGAAACGATCTAATTGAATCAAACCTTCAGTTTCAGCAGTTGATTTTTAAATTTTAAGTGTTTGAATGTAATTAATTGAAAGGTTGATTCTCACCCCGTTTGAAAAAATACCTTTATCTCCCAAATTTTTCACTGTTTAAAAAAAAAAAAAAGAGAAGGGAAACGATCCAATTGATATTATTGGCCAAATGAGGACCGTATCAACACGGTTTCGTTTGCGTCCACATAAACTTCCATGACGTCTCACTTTATTTGCCACCAAAATTTCGTACCCCACAGATTTCAAGGGTTGGATTGGGTTGAGGGTGAAAATCACGTTGAGAAACCATCTTAAACTAATTTATTAAAGCACCTGCCCTTTGTCCAAGTGGCCTTCGGGTCATTATGAAGGTATAATATTTTTTTTTATAAATTTGAAATTTGAATCTCATTTTTATTATTTTATTAAAAAAAATTAATTTATTAAAGGAATATTTTTTTTTATAAAATGGATACAAATAAAGGGTAGGGGTTCCATCCTCAACTTAAATACTGGAGGATGCACTTTCCAAAAAGCTTAAAGTCAATCAGGTCACTATGCTTAAATGCTATTAAAGGAATATTTATTATATCATTTTATTATTAATTTATATAAAAAAGTATAAAAATAAATTTTATTTTTAATATTAATATTATGTAAAAATTTTAATTGAATAAATAATAAAATAAAATTAATTTTTATTTTTTTAATTTTTGTACAAATTACTAAGAGTGATAAAAAATATAATAAA